GGCGGTGGGGACCGCTCCGCGAGGCCACCCGCTGCTGCCGCCGCCGCCATGTGCGGCCGCTGCGCGGGCCCCGCCAGGGCTCGGCAACTTCTCTGCGCCCTCGGACTTGGTCGAGGCGAGGAGAACGCCGGGCTTCCATCAGGACGGTGACATCACCGCGCTGCTCCAAGCTGGGATCCCGCCCCGTGCGAGGCCGAGGGGCCTCCGCCTGAGGGGGGACCGAGCGCGGTGGCCGAGCCTGACACCGCTCACACTAAATGCAATTATTTATCGTTACTTTCAGGAGCCGAACAACGAGAAAACCAACAACGGCATCCACTATAAACTCCAGTTGTTGTACAGTAACGGTAAGTGCCTGCCGCCGGCGTTCTCGGCCGCTAGCCTTTCCCGAGATGGTTAGAGGACATAAAGATTTTGAGATTAAAATGACATGGATGGAAACACGAGATCTTCCCATGGCACGGAAGGAAAAAACAGAAGCGATCAGTAAGTCGATGGCCCTTCACATGATTCACCGGTGGGGCTGGAAGTAGAAAGTTAAAAGGGGATGATCGATAGAGGCTCCAGCAGAACATCACTTTTCAGTGACTTTTTTAAATTTTGCAAATTAACGTTCATTATTGGGATGGGGGTAGCTGCATAAGTCGAGCATAACTTACTTCCTGTGCACGAGTTTACAAAAAAAAATCCTCGAGAGACGTTAGACAAGAGTTCAGCCTCTGCGATTCCATCTGTGCCTCTTGTTTTCTAAAAATAAAGACTCCTTGGGCCCACGGCACAGCAAGCAGGCCTGCTCTGGGGGAGCTGCAGTGTACGTTTCTTGCATCTTTCAACGCAAACCCTGAGAGTGTTAAAGTTCTTAACTGAGAGAAGGAAAAAACAAAAACAAACGCAAACTAGCGGGCAGTAGTTGGGGTCTCTGGCCTCTTAAAGGCTCGCCCTAAGTTCTGCGGCAGCTCGCGGCAGCAGCGCGGAGTTAACGGACTTCCTGTGCTCCCGGCCCTTCCCGAGGCGCAGGGCTGAGAGCTGATGAGAACGTGCCTCTGTTTCTTCGCAGGAGTCAGAACGGAGCAGGATCTGTATGTTCGCCTCATCGATTCAATGACGAAACAGGTGAGAAAGTTTCTGCCTTTGCGCTGGTTTTCACTGCTGAGCCGGGGTCGTCCTGGGGTTCCTAGGCCAGGGACTGACAAATGAATCTCCCGTATTTGTTTTTCATTTCACTTCCTTGACATGCTAATTAGAATTCCATATTTATTGGGATAAATGAAGCGATTGGTAACGCAGTTTATTTTGTCATTAGAATGGGACATATATGCTTTATTAAATGGTTGTGATTGGAATCAGATTCTGTCTTAATTAATTTTAGTAATTAATGTTTGACAGAGACATGTCACCAACTCTCCCTCCCCTTGTTTACTTTTAAACGTTTCTCTCTCTGCTTGGAATCGTTTCATTGATTTTTTTTTTTTCTGTAACAAAGGCACCTAACTCCCCTCCAGAGCTCATTGAGGTGGACTTGATTAGTTCCTTTTTTTTCTGCCTTCCAGCGTGATGGTCTAGTAACATGAGACGCTGATTTGGATTTCAAAGTTGAATGTGTTGGGGTGAAAAGTCCTTGTTGTCCTCTAGTCCATCTTCACCTCTCAGCCCCCCATCTCCATAATTCAAACTCCCAGCTCCAGGGGTCACCCAAACCCGTCCATCGCTCCGGAGAGTCTGCCCCCTCTCCCCCTGTCATACCTTGTAAATAACACAATTACAAGCAGTTCCTTATTAAATTATTTAACCTGTCTTTGTCAACTCTCGGATGATAACTTGGCTATCAGTAATGTGATTAAGTGCAGAAAACCCTCCGTTCCTGTTTGACATTCTGCAGTCTCTCTGGCTGCTGGTTTTGTGCTGAGTGGCGTGTTGTTTTGTTGTTTTAAAGGGACCCCCCTATTTTCTTAAAATAGGGTGTTTCTGGGGGGCCAAGTCCAATGTGTAAATTAAATCCACTGGGCGCAGGTTGATTTAAAGTATCCTTCCAAGCTGGCCTGCAGGCTCGGAAATGAAAGTAGCACCTTTATTTTTGATGCTAACTTGAAGAAGTGTAAGCTCAGGGAAGAAGTCCCGCCGCCTCCTGCAGCAAGCACGCGTGCCTCCCACTCTCTGCACCAATTAGTTTTCACCTTCGTCTTCTAAAAAAAAGTTTGCCCTCCTCTAGCGCTGTAGTGCTGGGGTTTTGTACAGCCGTGTGGTTTTCTCTCAGAGCAAAACAGATCTGACAGGTAAACTGGTCTTTCTGACAAAGACGAGCCGCGTGCCCTTCGGTCATTATTTGAGTCGGGTTCAGAGAAGCTCTGGAACTCGGGCGGCTTCTTGACTAGGTGCTTTTATTCCCTTTGTATGTAATGGCTACACGTTCTGGGAAGTCGCTGGAGTCTAATTCCGAGGCGTAAGTAGGCATGGCTAAATTGCCCTGTCCTTGCGTAGAGAGGGAAGAGGCTTCGCTTTAAGTACACTTTTATTGTTCATTTAGCCCTGTGCCTCTGCAGTAGAAACAGGGCTGAAAATAAAGGCATTTAATCTCCTCTCGGTGACGGGAAGGGAGAAAAAAAAGAAAGAAAGAGCCCAGTAACTGATCAAAGAGTCAATGGCGCTGAACCGACAGTTTATGGATTTCTGTTTGTGCTACAAAATAAAAAATAAATCAGATATAAATACGGGGATCCATCTGAGGACAAGGCGGTGCTCACGGAAGCCAGCCCCAGGCGGTTGGTGGCCTGCGGTGACACCCATCCTTTCTGTGGTTCCGAGCGGGGTCCGGGTGGGAGGCTGGGCGCCAGGGGCTGGCGGGGACCCGGCCCTCGTCCCAGGAGGGCCGCCTGGGCTTTCCAGAGGATGGCTTTGTGAGCCTGGAAGTGGAGGGAAGCGTCAGAAGTGCCCGCAGAGGCTGGAAAGAATTTCCAGCTAATTTCCAGGGGGAGGGGGCCGGGAACTGAGGGGACTGCGCTCCCCCTCCCGGGGAATTTTCTGCCAGGAACTAGCGACCCGCGGCCCCCGCCCTCCCTGGCGGCTCGTGTTTCTCCGGCGGCCGGCGGCGGGCGGCCCGGCTCGGTCCCGGCCCGGAGCGCACCTAGAGCTTCGCACCATCTGGCGGAGCCTCCGCTCAAAGCCCAGCCGAGCGTGCGCGCAGACACTGCCTTTTTACCCGAGAAAAATCATTGTTAGCAGTTTCAAAATAAACACCAGATTGGCCATTAGCACTTTCTTTCCGAGTATCATCCGGCAAGGAGCACGTGGCCGCGCGGCTCGGCGCCCCGGGGCCGGCGCTAGTGCGGGACCGGCCGCCCGCCTCGTGCGGAGCCTCCTGGCAGAGCGGCCCGGGCTCTGGGTGGCTCCTGGG